CCAGGAGAAGGACTGTCCAGTGGAGAAGACATTGAGCAACAGCCCTGTGAAATCTGAACGCGAAGTCCTGTTGGTTGGTAAGTTCTGTTGGTGGTGATGCTGGAGGCCTGAACGGGATGGGACTTACTTCAAGGTGGCCTTGCAGCTCCATCTGGCCACCCCTTGTTCCTGTGGTTATGCCAGGGGAGGTGGGAGTCCTGGAAGCAAAGAAAGCCTCGAGCTTTGGTGGGTCAGGATTTCACCTTGTGCATTCCTCCCGTGGCAATCCTGTGCTGTGCACCTTTCAGTCAAACCCACACAGGTGTAAAGTATGTAGTCATTGCTTGTGTGGAGTGACAGCTCAGGTCAGGACTGGAGTGCAGGTTGCTCTTCTGGGAGTTGTCACCAAAGGCAGTAACTTACAGATGAGGGTCTGTCTCACCACCTCCACAGGGAAGAGCTTCTGCCTAAGGTCTCATCTCAGTCTTCCCTTTAGCAAGTTCAAGCCATTCCCCTTGGCCTGTCCCTACAGGCCCTTGTCCAAAGCTCCTCTCCAGGTTCCCTGCAGCCCCTTTAGGCACTGGAGCTGCTCTAAGGTCTCCCCTTCAGGAGCCTTCTCTTCTCCAGGCTGCCCCAGCCCAGCTCTCTCAGCCTGGCTCCAGAGCAGAGCTGCTTCAGCCCTCGCAGCATCAATGTGGCCTCCTTTGGGCTCACTCCAGCAGCTCCACATCCCTGTGTTGGTGTTGCCCCAGACCTGAGTCAGGACTGCAGGAGGGCTCTCTCTAGAGCAGGCAGAGGGGGAGGATGCCATGAGAATGACATTTGTGGTGTTCCTTTCCCCAGGAATAATTTCAACATTTCTTCACGTGCACCCGTTTGGAGCAAGCATTGAGTACATCTGCTCCTACCTGCAGCGCCTGGACAGCAAGGTGCGTGTGCTGACACTTCCAGCTCCCCAGCCAGCCTGGGCAGTGTGTCCAGTCCCTGTGGCTGGGAAAGAGTTTCCCTCCCTGCGAGCGCTGCAGGCTTAGTGAGAACTGGTGTCTGCTAATGGCAGTACCTTGTTACCAGAGGACAGGGGAGGGGGTGAACTTAGAACCCCAGAAGGGTTCGGGTTGGGAAGGACTTCTGAAGATCTAGTCCACTCTTTGCTGTGGGCAGGGACACCTTCCACTGGAGCAGGTTGCTCATAGCACCCCAGCTTCTGGTTTAGCCCTCACGCAGCTTAGCGTTAACCTCAGTGCGGAGCTGAAGATGGTGTTCTCACTGCAGATGTCCCTGCTCAGAGGAAAGCCCGTTGATGGTAGCTGCATTTTGCAGCAGTGGATTCCATCTTTAAAATCTCTGTCCAAAATGTCTTTCTGTTTATTCTGTGTAAGTTTGCTGCCTTTGTTCCCTTAGCCTTATGACCTCTAAGGAAAAGAGCAAATAACCCGGCTTTGCATAATGTTTATTATAACATCTGCCATGCCACTGTTTGTGTATATCCTCTTTAAACTGAGCAGTCATATTGGTTTTGTGTCTCTGAGCAATGTTTTTTCCCTATTTCTGCTCCTGTAGCCTTTCACTGGGCCTTGGCTGACTGTTCTGATGCTGTCAGTGCAGTTGTTTTTAGGAGGGTGCTGTGCAAGGGCCTTACACTACAGAAGTGGAAGCACTGAACTGAGTCCCTGCTCGTGGGGCTCTGTGCTAAGTGGAGAGATCAGCTCCTGGGTGCAGGAGTTGAGAAGGGCTGTAACAAGCTCATGGATTTTGCCTAGCACAACACAAAGCTGCTGTTCCCTGCAGTATTTCTGTGCATCACTGGCTTCAGGCTCCTTTTCAAAGTAAACAGGGCAAAGGCTTTTGAATGCTTGAGGAAATTGCACCTTGTTCCTCTAATATACTGTTTTTCAGTTGTTTTCCTTAAAGTTCCCAGCATGGGAATCACCTCTTGTGCTTGGAATGTCTTCAGCTGCTTTGTTTCTAGCTTGCTGTCTCATTTCCCTGTCCTGGGGAAGCTGGCCTGTGCTTCCCGTTTCCCTCCAGCCCTTCAGAGACATAGTTCATAGTTCATCTTCTCCTAGTTCAGAAGTTGTCCTGAGGCAAAGAGCTGCTCTTGGTTTAATTTGGGGCTGCTAAAGAAATGCCCTCAAACCCTTCATCTGACTTGTGGCACTTCCTCTTGGGAACCTACCGCTTAGAAAAGGCCCACGGGAGGTTTCTACAATGAGCTTAGCAGAAGGAGCCCTGTGAAAGATGCATCCTTGGCCCTCTGCAGTGGCCTCGGCCTGGTTCACTGTCTGCTGACCCTGGTCTGCTGCCTGCTCAGGTCTCTGTTCAGAAAGTGCAATTCCCATGTCCCTGGTTTCTGTACCCAGTCACTGAGAGCTCTGTTCTCGAAGCAGTGATAAAAGTGCTCACTCTTCGGTTACCTAAATACTTGGGAATTTTTAGTCCTTTACCTTGCATTTCGCAGTGGAAAGAATTAGGATAGTCCTGTTATAGAATCATAGAATAGTTAGGGTTGGAAAGGACCTTAAGGTCATCCAGTTCCACCCCCCCTGCCATGGGCAGGAACACCTCCCACTAAACCATGCCACTCAAGGCTTTGTCCAGCCTGGCCTTGAACACTGCCAGGGATGGAGCAAATTTACCCTTATTTCTAGTGTGCGTTACATCTGCAGCCATCTCACCCTGACCACAGCACAGCTGTCACGCTTATCCCCATTTGATTATCCGCATGAGGATTTGGACAGGATGTCTAGGAAAATCCTGTAGCAATGTTTGAGCTTGAATGTCACCACCAGTCATTGCAGGGCTTCCAAAACCAAAAGCATGTTCATTCTTAGTGCCATTTTCCTTCTGGTTTCACAGATCAGCACTGCAGAAGTGGAAGTTCTCATGACTCGACTCCAGAACACGTTCAGGCAGGAGCTGAGCGGGGTTGGAGCCAGCCTGGAGAAAAGGTGGAAGTTTTGTGGCTTTGATGGCTTGAAAATGACTTGAGCTTTGACTTAGTGATGCATCCAACAGTGGGAGACATGTGCCAAGGGATGTCTCTGACCTCTGTTCATGCTGACTCCTGCACGCCCATGGGGGCTCAGGTGCTGGGAAGTGGAAGTGAAGCTCTAAGTCCAGAGCAGCACTGGAAGAACCTTCAAGTTCTGTAGCCTCTTTGATCAGTTATTTGTTCACAGGAAAGTGCTGTTCAATATATTTGGTGAAAGAAGCTCATGCCTGATGTTCCGAAGCACAACGTGGTGACTGTTCTGTTTTGCCAATGTTGTATGTGTTCTGTGTACCCAAATTTCTCATCCTGTACCTTCTTTTTACTGGTAGGAACAGCCATAGACTGTCCTGAAGCAACAGCAAAGAGGCATTTTCTGGTTTCTAGAACCACCAAAGGAGACAAAAAAAGGCATTTTTTTAGACATTTCTATGATTAAAACCTGAGGTATGTTTAAACAGATTTAGGTGGCTTCAAGTTCTCTAAGCCAAACAGCTGCTTCTTTTTCACACCGTTTTCCCTGCTGATGGTTTAATGGGTATGCTGAGGTGGAGGCAATGTGTGCAGCAGCTGGGTGTGATTCTGGCTGTGCCACTGGTGGTCTGTTCATTGCAGAGCCAGTCTGTAAATACAGACCCCACTGGCACCCATCCCTCAAACACTGGCGTGCTGCCCCAGGGTCACCTCCAGCCACCCTGGATTTATCCCTTTCCCCCTTCAGATCTCTCAGCCTTGGTAACTCCTGCATGAAGAGCCTTTTCCCCCTTAGAGACAGCAGGTCTGCTGCTGGTTTGACTGACCCATAACCAAAAGACCCCAGATTCTGCTGGTGACACCAGGCTTGGAGCTAGGTGTTGATACACTGGCCCTTCCCATTTCTCCCCTCACTGTTCCCTGACAGAGGAGAATATTGCTTGTGTTCCTGATCCCTTTAACCAGTTGTCCCAAGGCCCTGAAGTCTCTCTTCATTGCCCTTGGAGTTCTTGCTGAACTTCATCCCTGCCTACCTGACAAGTCAGTAGTGGATAAGTGAGAGCTGTGCCAGGGTGGGAGGCTTCCTCTTCACCTCTTTAGCCCAGACCCCAGGGAGGCAGCAGAGCTCCCTGAGAAATGGGTCAGCTGTGCATGGTGGGCCTTCTGCTCCCCTCAGAACTGTTCCGTGACCGTGACCCATCTTTTCTCCATATGGAAGTAGTTTCGACAGGACATAGGCCGACTTAACCTCGGTGGCTCCTTCAACCATGTTCTCATTACTGTTGGTTTGACATGCAGAGCCTCCTGCCTGTTGTAGGTGGGACCTGGTGGGGTTGTCATGGAGGAGACATGCCTGCTGTGCTGTGCTGTGCTGGAACCTGTCACCACTGCCCCCATCCCTTCAGGTGTCAGAGGACAGGGCGCTGTGTGTTCAGCACGGATCTCCCGAGGAAAATCAGGGAGGGAACTTGAGAAAATAGGACTGTTAGAGCCAGTGGGCAGAGCACACAGGAGCAAGGGCTTGTCCTTGATGCTGCAGCCAGAGGGCATCAGCTGGATGAGCCGGGCGCAGCGGCTGGATTTACCCTGCAGTGTGGAAGCAGTGCAGCAGACGGGCTCGTTGGGTTCCAGTCCTCCAGCATGTTGGATGCAGGGAGGACATGGGATTTGATCAGGCCACCTTGGCCAGCAAGAGCTGTCCTGTGGGAGCTGGTTCTGCCATTTCATGTGGACCAGGCAGTTGTTTGGTGGGGAAGCAGGAGCTGGGACCTGAGGAGTGATGGCTCCATGCTGTAAGAGCAAGTGAGGCTGAACGGGGCCTGGGTCCTGCTGCTTCCTGTCTCCAGGCTTTCTCCACCCAGGCCCATGGGAGGGACGGGGTTTTCCTGACGTTTCATGTGCCCTTGGCCACCAGGAGAAGTCTGTGCTGCGGATGGGCACCCTGGATGGGGAGGAGGCAAATGGGATGCTGCTGCAGGTACCAAACCTCCTCTGTCTCCAGAGAGAGCTCTGGGATAGCAGCAGACACCTCCTGGAGCTGGAGCTGCAGGTGAGGGCTCCAGGTATAGGCAGCGGGAATGGGTGAAGGGAACCCATCTCGTTGTCCCTGCTGTGGCACCCAAGGCTTGCTCTGTGGGAGGCAGGTGAAAGCCCATCTAAAGCAACATGCTCAGTGGTTGTGTCACTGCGGGGAGCTTGTATTTTTGAGAAATAAACGTTTTTATAGGCAAATCTTGGTCCTGCTGCTTGCTTTTTCTCACCGAGCTTGCATTGCTGGCCATGGGGAGGGCGGTGCTCCATCCTTATTTCTGTGTCAGCATGGAGCTCCACTGTCCTTGTAGTAAACTCCAAAAGGATTCATAAATCTCAGGCCAGCAAACAGCTGCAGAACGCTCCCTGCTTCCTCTCCAGCCTCTTCTACTCAACAGGCAGCGAACTGGAGCTCCATGATCCCCCCCTTCCTTCCGAGCAGCTGGAGTTTGCTGCAGGTGGCAGTGTTGGGGGTTGACACCTTGTGCAGCACAGCCACACCAGCTCATACTTGGTGACGAGGATGGGTACACAGGGAAAATGAGAGCTCTGGAGCAGCCTGCGCCAGGGTTCCCATGCTTGTATTGAGGGAAGCAGGTTGTTGTACATGCAGGGCTCTCTGGGGGCTGTAGCCCACATGCACAGCCCATCTAGCTGTGAGCTTGTCAGTGCTGGAGCTTTGCAGGGCCCTGTGGTCCTTGGAGCTGTGGTGGATGTGGAGGGTGGTGTCTGCCTGGCCCTGCCTGCCTGCAGCAGGGGCTTGGTCACTGTGACAGCTGTGAAGGAGCAGCCAAGGTGGGAACCATCCATTGGCCCTCTTTGGCCAATTTCCCTTCCAGGTCTCATCTGCCGGAGCAGCAGATGCTTCCTGGGTGCCCTGGTTGCTGACAGGGAAGACTGGGGAAGACACGGGATGGAGGAGATGGGCTGAGCAATCACCGATCCCTGCCAAGGCGCAGACACTGTCAGGCGTGGGAAGTGCTGGCCCTTCCCTTTGCCCCTGCCCTCCCTCTCTCCCCACTGCTTTGGGCTTGCTCTGTTTTGGCAGGAACCCACATTCTCATCACCCCTCTCCTCCCCTTGGCTCAGCTGCAGTGGCTCCTCCCGGCTCCTCTTCTGCCGGCACTGGGAGCATTCCCCTGCAGGCTGTGGGACCGCTGCTTGGAAACCCATCGCTGGAAGCAGAGAAGGAGCCCAGGGTGCCGCTGCTCCTGCACAGAAGGTAAACCTCATCCCTCTGCTCCATCCTACTGCTGCTGAAAATGGGGAGCAACTGCAGCTCCTTCGGAATGGAAGGGGCCGCTGAGCTAAGCTTTTCCCATGAGATTTCCTTGAATAAGCCCTAGTCCTAAAAATAAGCAGGGAAAGTCATTGCAGGAAGGAAGTGCCATGTTACCACTGCCAATGCCGTGTTAGCACAGCTAATGCCATGTTAACACTCACAGTGAGAGGCAGTTCATTCCTGGTCTCGAGTTCGTGAGTTCCTCCGGCAGCCCCCGCTGAAGGGGATTTGCCATACTCTGGTTCTGCTCCTTGCTGGAGCTCCAGTGCCTGCCCAGGCTGGAGCGAATTCTGCCAACCCGGGCTCCGTGGGGCATCACCCACCTCGGGGCAGGGCAGCCACGGAGCTGCCATCCAGGCTGGTGGTGGTCACACCTGTGGCAAGCAGTAAGGGCAGGGTTTTGGGGTAAGCAGTTGAAGTGTGAGTTCATCAGACAGCAGAAGGTAGCGGCACAGGGCTATTCTCAGAGTGTTTATGCTTGTGTAGTGGCAGATAAGCAGCAGCTTATCTGCCCTGTCTTCTTCCTGCTTTCTCTCTGTTCTGCTCCCTCTCCTAATAGGGGTTTCTATTCCTTGCCCCAGGGCAGCCACATCCTCCCTGACTCGGCATCCTCCCTGACTTCACTCTGACCATCCCATCTCAGGCTGGGCTGTGCCTGTGGATCTGCCCGAGCTGTGACGGTCACTTGCAGCAAGGTAATTCCCTTCCCTGTATCTGTGCCGGGGTTCATCTGTCCAACTGCATCATCTGCTGATGGCCGAGCTGCTCCCTTCCTGCCTTGAGGCTGCTGCTCAGCGGTGCTTCTGCTCTCCCTCACTCCTGGTGTGGCAGGAACAGGAGCTATTGCAGGCGAGTGGAGATGTTTTTCTCTGTCACAGCCAATGTTTTACCTATGCCCCCAGCTCTCCCAGGGCAGCTTATATCCCAGGATCTTGGCTAGAGCAGTTAAAGACCCACCTCTTCCATGTAGCCCTGTTGAGACAATAAATAAAATCCATCCCTAAAGGGCTGCTTCTTCCACAGATTTCTGTCTGTCCACAGGGTTAAAATCAGGAAAAGCTGTGCCTGGCACCCACGGCTGCTGGGTGAGCTTGCCCTGGGAGGGAGAAGGCTGAGGGATGACCAGAGCAACTTAGGGAGCCTAAAGGAAAGCCCCTGGTGCTGTTTAATGATGAAAAAGTCCCTTTTTAAGCAGGACACAAATACCTGCATGGTCTGTGCCCCACCTGAAATGTAACTGGGTATCATGATTCCCAACCCTTTGGTAACGTACCCCCTGAGCTTCAGACTCTGGGTCAAGACTGGTGGGTCCTTCGTCTGCTGCCTGTCATAGCTGCCGTGAAAGCAGGGTCACACCAGTTCTAAGGGGATGAGTTACCCCGAGTCCAGTGTGTGAGGCAGTCATGGGCACCCACAGACCCAGTTTTAATTGAGTCATGGTCATGGGCTCCCGGTGGGTGATTTCCAGGTATTTATTTTTGCCTTGAAGCCATCCCTAGGAAGGCTCCTTCTGAGGCCTCTGCTCTGACCGCATCTCCCTGTGCCCGCGCTGTAACTGCAGCCCCTGCTCCTCTTCACTGCTGCTCTTTGCCCTCTGGGCCGTGGTGGGTTCGCGGGTGCCCAGGCTGGTGCAGGGCTGGGGCAGCACCCAGCTCTGTGCTGGGGGTGCAGGGCTGGGGCAGCACCCAGCTCTGTGCTGGGGCTGCTGCTCTAAGGGTCTCGTTTACAGGAGATGAGGCTCAGTGCCAAATGTTAAGCTAAGAAACAAACTGATGTAAGGTGAGGGGAAAGGCAGAGAGGAGCTTGTGGGGAAAGGGGAATGAGTGTGCCCTGGGGGATGTGAGCTGATTTTTAGGCTTTAGTAGTTTTTTATGACTTAAATCCTGAAGCTCCCTTTAGAGGAAACCCCTACCCCCACCTCTGCGGAGTGGGAGCTCCGGGTATAGCATCCACACACCCAAAAGCCATCAGCAGCTGAGGGCTGTCTCTGTGTCCCCAGCGCTCCCAGCAGCCCCTCCTGTCCTGCTCCAGCTCCTCCAGTTTCTGCCCTGTGCTCCTCACTCTTCTGTCTTTATCTATGCCTTTCAGAGACCTTCGTCCCTGCTCTGCTGCCAGGGCAAAGCACGGACATGCAGCCTGTGCCCCTGCACAGCCTTTCAGAGCTGGAGAGAGCCAGTCTGCAAGAGATTGCCCTGTACCAGCTGCAGGAGAAGCTGCTTCTGGGAGATCTGAGCCTGGCTAAAGGTAGGGAATGGGTGAGCATGGCTACTGCTGAGGGAGGGGAGCTCTGAGCCATTCGTGCTGCTCATCCCCATTCCTGCTCTTCCTAACGAGATGTTGTTTATGGAAAGGCTTTTGTGTCACATTTTGGTCCATTTTATGTTTTTTCCCCTGCTTTGGTTTGAGCGTTAAAGACCTCATCAGCCTTTTGAGGAGGGTTTGTGTGTCCATAGGAGTGTGAGAATGTGACCTTGCCTGTTGTCTGCCTCTGATCCCCTAATCCAAACCAGATGCAGAATGCTTTGGCAAGGTCTTCCACTGGGACTGTCTTAATGCCACTGAGATGGGATAAGCTTTGCTTCTTGGATTGACGTCCAGCACAAAGTCCTGATGCTGGAATGGGGTTTATGCAAGGCTAAAGACGTGCTACTGAAATTAATGGGCAGATAAATATAGAAGCTCCAGAGGGACTGAGCTCCTCTGAGCTGGCCTACATAGACACAGAGGCACGATCTGGGTTCCTGTAGCTGCCATCTACACATTAACCAGGCAAGGACAGTGAGTGGGGGAATAACTGACTCCTTCCCAGACTCACTCCTTACTCAAGAGTGGACAGAACACCTTGAAACGCCTCCTCTGCCCCAGGCTGTGTTTTGCCATCCCAGTAGGGCAGGAGATGCTCCTCTCTCATTCCCAGAGCTCTCAGTTGCTCCAGAGCTGCAGCACCAGTGACCACTCTGCCTTCGAGTCCCTGGGGACTCAGACCACAAACATCCTGCTCATTCTGAGCTGTGAGGTCCCATTCTCAGCAATAGCCTGCAGCAGCAGCCTCTCCAGTGCAAAACCCCCAGCATTCCCTTCCTTGTGTTAAGTGTGCTGCATGTTGTCCAATGGGCTCTTCTTCCTGTGGGATAAGCACAGGGATTGCAGAGTCCTCACCTCGTCCTTGTGTGTGTTTTGCACATTGCTCTTTGTGCTCACCTGGTTCCTGAAGGAAGCAGTTGCTGTCGGGGAATCCCTCCTTCCCTTTCTCCATCTTCACAGCCTTTAGGTTTCTACCTGCTCATTGTTCTCCTTGGCTGCGAGTCAGCGTGAGAGGCTGAGGATTAGGTGTGGAACTATTGCACCTGGAGCATCAGTTTCCTATCCCAGCATTGTAAAGGGAAATTCATGTTTGGAAGCACCTGAATTAGGGCTGCATGGTCTGTGTGTGCTTGCCCCCAACATCTGCCCACACAAAATTCCTGCTGCCTTTCACAAACAGCCATTGCCCAGTTGCATTAGCACTTAACGAAAAGGCATTAAGCACCTCTTATAATGCTTGTGTCTCCAGGGTGCTTGAGGATGAGTGTGTGTCCCCCAGTGTGTGCCCCCCAGTGTGAACCAGACTTTGGGCAGCCTTCACTTAGCTCTGGGCTGTTCTTTGTCTTCCTGCTGTGTCTGGTCATTTGAATGAAACAACACAAATGGTGCTGCAGAATGACTGATGTAGTGACATGCACATGCTGCTCATACCAACTGCTATAGCTTGCCTCTAGATCTTACACCATAACCCAAACAACTACACAGGCTGCTTCTAGAAGAGAATTCCACAGGAATAAGGAGCACAAGCCAGAACAGGGCAATGTGCCCTGGAAAGGTTTAAAGGAGGCTGTGAATAAGTTTTCAGTTCACTGCTGCTGGCTGCTGCCCCTGGATGTGCAACATGGGAATGCTGAGAAGCAGCACTTGCCTCCCCAGGGCCAGATGGGTTTCTGGTGGGATGTTTTGTCTAACTGTCCTTGTGCTCTGTCAGACATTCCTAAAAGCTTTTCCAGGGCTGGATTCCTTTTTCCAGTGTGGAGACCAGGCCTCAGAGGATGAATTAGGGCATCCTCTAGGGTCATTAGGTGGTTGCTAGAACATCATCATCAATACCGAGTCGTGTACAAGGTGCATACAGAATTGAAAGGTGGCCAGAACAGGTTTAAGCTGCAGCCTTTGGGCAGCTGAAGTTTTCCTGCTGCTCTTCAACATGTGAGCACCCATCTGGGCCCCTCGCTGTAGGCTCCTGGCACTTCCTTTCACTCAGGGAGGATGGTGCCAATCTCTGAGGCTGTTTCCTGCAGGTGGCTGAAACAGCATCCTCTGGGCCATGGCAATGGAGTGCTTCAGGCATCCTCTGAGCCACGGCCACAGCAGCCCCACACCATCCATCCACCATGGGAGGTGCCTGTGGCCATGTGAGGGGGCGAGAGGGCGGAAGGCAAATGGGTGTAAGGGGAGATGGTACTAAACCAGCCTAATGATGCAGAACCTTTACTTTCTTTTCTCCTCACAGTCAGACCTAAAGGCATCAAATCCATCCGCCAGAAGCTGGAGAGCTTCTCAAAGGAGAAGAAGGGTGAGCAGCAGCCCCCCTCTGCCCCATGCCTGGTCCCTGCTCGCAAGTGGAGTTGGTGATTTTTGATGGGAGATGCCCACATTCAGCAAGGAGCTATGTCCCGTGTTGGCTGCTCTCCAGAAGGGGTGTAATGATACGTGTAGAATCATAAGAGCATCTGTAAGGGATGTGTGTGCATGAGCTGTAAAGCTGTGCACACATCACTATTTCTGTCTACTCATTTTACCCCTGGTCTCGCTGCTTCAGGGTCTGTTTTACTGTGGATGTTAGCCACAAACCTGGGGAGAACTGAAGTGCACAGCCAGTTGGGAATCTTGAACTGGGTTGGGTTGAAGGGGCCTTAAAGCTCCTCCAGCTCCACCCCTGCCATGGACAGGGACCCCTTCCACTAGAGCAGGGTGCTTCTGAGCAGTTCACTGGTTTTCCTCACACCAGCACAAAGTCCTCTGGAAAAGTCATTAGGGGACAATGCTGTTAAGAGCGAAACAGTTCTGGGACAGATGTAGCCGAGGTTCTTACATTGGAACTGGAGGTTAGAACTTGTAGAGAACCTTTTGCATCAAATACTTCTGGTAATTCATAAAGCTTCCACCCCACAGACACTATGAGGCTGTAACCAGTTGAAGGAAGAAAAGCTCCGGAAAACTGGGCACAGGTTGCAGCAAGCCTGTGGATGGAGGCCAGTTTTCCTGGGTCACCTTCCTCTTCCTCCCTGCCTCCCTCTCTGTGCCCTCCTGCTCAGCTCCTGCCTGCTCCCACCACACCGTGCCCTGGGGATATTCTTCCGGGTGCTCGTGGGGAGCTTGAGGAGGAGCAGGGAGCAGGAGGGGACAAGGGCACTGATTCAGGGCTCTCATCCTGGGTTCATGCTACAGATCTTATCCTGTATGGAACTGGTTTTACTTGCTGTCCTTTCGACTCTCCCACCTTCACAGTATCCTGGTATTCGCTCTGTCGGCCCATTCTGCTCCCCAGGCACACACAGCCCTGGTGCTGGACTCCCACTCTTCTTTCCTGCTGGTGACACTTCCCTGTTGCTCCCGTGTTCTGCCCTAGACTGCTCCCCTCAGACCTTCGGCATCCCGCTCTCCCAGGTCATCGCCAATGACCGAGCGCACCGGCAGCTGCAGGAGGCGGTGAGGAGCAGCCGCCGGCTCTGCCTGGAGGTGGAGGCGACCGTGAGGACATTCCAGGCCCAGAGGCTCCAGAGGATGGGCAGGAGCCTGGTGCCCTGTGGGGCCCTCCCTGAGGAGCCGCTTCCCCCTGCTCTGCCCAGCACCGAGTCCTGGCGCCAGCGGAGGGTACGCTGTGAACTGGGTGGTGGTGGTGCTGGGCCGGGGGCGCTCAGCTCCGCAGCCAGTGTCGGTCAGGGCCTGGTCTTAATGGATGTGGTGCTGCATGCTGGTCTTGTCTGCCTTCAGGGACATGGGGTGCCCCAGCTCCCCCCAGAGGTGGGCTGTGAAGGGTGGGACACTTCACTGGCTCTTATGGAGCCAATGTCACCAGAAGGCCATGGCCAGCCAGCCAAAACCTTCTCCAGAGGGAGATAGGGATAGGAGGAGATCCAAAGCCTCTCTCCAGGTTCCCTGCAGCCCCTTTAGGCACTGGAGCTGCTCTAAGGTCTCCCCTTCAGGAGCCTTCTCTTCTCCAGGCTGCCCCAGCCCAGCTCTCTCAGCCTGTCCCAATACAGGTTTCCTCTCTCCTCATGTCTGCATATGGCATAGGGTCTGCTGCAGTAGCAAGGCTGTGTTCAGAACCACCTTGCGCTAGCAGCAGTGCACATGAAGCAATCTTCTCTTGACACCCCGAGAGGCTCTGCAGACCCGTGTCCGTTTGGAGGTGATGCCTCCCTTTCCCACAAACTTCCAAGGCTGCAGAGTGATGGAGCCACCTCTGCTCCATCACAGGGCGCGATGTCTGTGGACTCCATCACTGACCTGAGTGACAACACCTCCAAGCTGCTGGAGGCTCTGCAGTTGTCACACCCACATGAGCTGGGTCCACAGAGGAGCCTGGGCAAGAAGAAGATGTTGAGCCTCAACCCCATCAGCTGGCAGGTCCCACGGATCGTGGACAGATGCTGCAAACACACTGAGATGCACGGTAAGTACTTGGGTCCCACAGTGGGCTCATAAGACCCCATTCTGCATGGGGGGCTGGGGATTCCTGCCCTGGCTGTTCCCCAGGATGGGAGGAGGGAGTTGGTTCCTGGGGCAGAGAATGCTCCCAAAACCTGGGAAGAGTCCTTTGGATGGTGTAGCATCTGGGCTGAGAAGGTGTATCAGTGACACATCTCTTGGTGTTAAGATCCAGGTACTCTGGCTTTAACTCCCCCTGCAAATCCAGTAGCTCACAGTGAATAGAGATGAGGCCTCCTTCCTGACCCACAGACAACCCCAGAAAATCTTATGTCTCCAAATCCCTTCTTCTTACCCCCTCTGCTGGGAGTGGGATGGATGCAACCCCTCATGGACAGCGCAGGAGAACCACATCATGATGCTGAGGTGCTCCCAGGACTGCTCAGGGTAGTGGAGGGCACTGGGGATGCAGAGCACTCACTTCTCTGTCTCCCAGGTCTCCACACTGTGGGCATCTTCCGAGTCGGGAGCTCTAAGAAAAGAGTTCAGCAGGTAAAGAGACATTTACGGCACTCTCCATGGCTGTGCAGCATCCAAGGGATGGATGCTTGTGCGGGTGGGGAATGAATCCCAGAATGGGAGAGGCAGATTAAAGCTCGTCCAGCTCCAACCCCTGCCACAGACAGGGACACCTCCCACTGGAGCAGCTTGCTCCAAGCCCCTGTGTCCAACCTGGCCTTGAGCACTGCCAGGGACGGGGCAGCCACAGCTTCTCTGGGCACCCTGTGCCAGCGCCTCAGCACCCTCACAGGGAAGAGCTTCTGCCTAAGAGCTCAGCTCAGTCTCCCCTCGGGCAGGTTCAAGCCATTCCCCTTGGCCTGTCCCTACATCCCTTGACACTGCAGTAGCTCTGAACAGGAACAGATCCTGACAGCATGGCTTATATAAGGAGGAAGAACTGACTTCGCTTTATTCTCATTTCTCCCATCTTTAAGCTGAGGGAGGAGTTTGACCGAGGACTGGACGTGTTCCTGGATGAGCATCACAGTGTTCACGATGTGGCTGCTCTGCTCAAAGAGTTTCTTCGGGACATGCCGGATCCCCTGATTCCCAGAGAGCTCTACTCAGCCTTCCTCAGCACAGCCTGTGAGTACTCACAGTGCAGAGCCTCTGCCCAGCCCGTCCTCCACTGCTGCTTTTGTAAGGGGGGAAAAAGGGAAGTTTCTTCCTGAGCAATTCCCTGGCCCACTGCCAGCTCCCAGCACAACTCAGTTTGTATTGCGGAAAGGTGTCTTGACAAATCCTTGGCCTCCAGATTCTGGGTGACTGCGTTTCTGGGCAGTCTCCACAGTTTCCAGAATTGCTCTTCCTTGGTCTCCTTCACCACCTCTTTGTTCTCCTTTTGCCATCCTTCTCTGCTCAGGTTTGGGTCTCCAAATCCTTGAATCCCTGCTTCCACATCAGAAATGAGCAGCTACACACTGGTGAGCTTGTCACCAGGCTGTGCCATGGCAGGGGCAAGGCAGGGCACATGATGGTGGGAACAAGGGTGTGCAGGGATGGAGTGGAAGGTACAAAGCAATCTTCTGCCCTCGAGCTGTTTTCTGAGCACAGAGCACACCTGCACTGTGAAGCAGGAGTGTCAACTGACCTTATTCTTGCTGAAATCACCCCAGAGCAAAGGCATGGGACTGCGCACGTGTCTGCTGGTTGTGGGCACACAGCATGGAGGTTCTTCAGGATAAGTATGACATGAGACTGGGCATATCTCAGCATGGGATATCCTTAGGGAGGTCAGGAAGATGGGGATGAAAAGCAGAACAGTACTGCATCCTGGCTGGAAGTGGCTGTGACGGCTTTCCTTTGATGTCTTTTGCTTGGGGTCCTAAACATGGAATTTGCATTATGGAATGAGCCTGATCTCTTGTTAAGGTTTTCTGGCCTGTAGAGGGTTTTTGTTCCATCTCCTTGCCCAGTTTCTGTTTGGCTCCCACATCCTTCCTTACCCTCCTTTACCAAAACCACTTGAGAGCCGCTGGGTTAGCGATGTGCTGCTGGCTCGGGCACGGGCGGATGCTGCACTCCGTGCTTTGGCGTTGTTTGCTGACAGCGGGGTTACACGCACCCCTCTGCCCTGGGGCAGTCAGCGGCTGCGGGGCTGTGCAGTACCAACCGCAGCGCTTGCGGCGGGACCCATCCCTGCCCGGGTGGGAGGCAGGCGGCGGCACCCGCGTGTCCCTGCAGGGCGGCACTGACGGGCTCCGCTCTGTGCGCAGCCATGGCGGGCACGGCCCAGCTGGGGGCGCTGCAGCTGCTGCTGTTCCTGCTGCCGCCGTGCCACAGCGACACCTTGCGGCGGCTCCTGCGCTTCCTGGCCCGGGTGGCGCGGCACGCCCAGGGCTCCCGCCGCCCCGACGGACGCGAGGTGAGGCTGCGGGGGGGGGGCGCGGCGCGGGAGCGGGACGGGGCGGGGCGGGGCTGGGGGCGCCAGGTTGCGTGTGGAGGTTGTAGCTCTGCCGATGCGAGCCCTAAGGCTGTGACTCAGAGGCGCTGGTTTTGTCCCATAGATGATAATAAGGTGATAACACGAACCGTGGGTGTTGCCTTTCGGTGGCGGTTGTGGAAGTGAGGGAGGTGAGGATGGAGGCTCTGATGCAAGGAGGGGATGTGCGTGTCCCTTCAGGCTGGCTCTGCCACAAGTTTAGGGAGGACCAAAACTGGACCCGTATTAACACCCTAGCCTCACGCAGCAGCTCATGTTCCTGAGCAGGGGGGTGAGGCTATCCCGGGACATCTCCCGCTGGTGCATCTCTAATGTGTGATTTCCTTTCATGGCTGCCTGCCAGATTCCTGGGAATAAAATGACAGTTTCAAACTTGGCCACGATCTTTGGTCCCAACGTCCTGCAGAAAGAGAGGCCTGGAGAGAAAGACGCTGCTGCTGTGAACTATGAGGACAGCGCTGCCATCATACTGGTACTGCAGAGGCTGATTGAGCATCACCAGACCCTGTTCATGGTACGTGTGGCTTGCTCAGGGCAGTTTCTCTAGACCTGTCCCTCCCCTCTGAACAATTCTAATAGCAGCAGAAGGAAGGATAGATTCACTGCCCTGCTCCAGTTGGCTTGTGAAAACAGGATTCATTCCTCATGGCAGCTGTAAATATTAATTTGGGATGGCTTGTTACTGCATTGTAAAGGCAGAGCTGAGGGTCATGCCATGAACAGATCCCTCCTCTCTGTCACTTTCCACCCCAGTGACATCTGACCAAGCTCATTTGGGGCAGGGAACAACTGGGAAACAGCAAGTGCAGGAGCAGCTCCTCTGAACTGATACCCGCTCCCCCCCCCCCCCTCCAAGTCCCAATGAAGGGGGGAAATAAGAGGAAGAAATGGGAGACCCAGGAAGAGGGAAGCTGTCCCCATGGGATGCAGTGCAGGTGGGCACCAGGTAGTCATGTAGCTGAAGTGGCTGCTCTCCTTGGGGACAGCCCCATGGGGGCTGTGCAGCTCTCTGGAAGCCCCATCACAGCCGCCTGGCTTAGCAGGAGCATACATGGAGCATTCCTCCTGGCCCTGGTTTTAGGAAAGGACCCGGGAAACGCCCAAGAAGTACCAGAAATGTCCACTCCCTGCAGGTCTGTGTGACCATGACGTTTCAGCTCCCAGAAAAGCTTTGTAGCAATGGTCAGGTCTGCAGGGAGCCAAAGGAGCAGGACTGGTGTGGGGAAAGCTCAGGCCTGGGTGGTGTGTGGGAAGTCACCCCAGCACGGGGTGTCTGTGGGCAGGGATGGACCTGGCATCCCCTCGCTGCCCTCACTGCCCCGCAGAGGAGGAGGTGCCGTGAGCATGTCCGTGTGTCCCGGCCAGGTGTCCCCTGAAATGCAGCAACACATCCTCAGGAGGCTCTTCCAGACAGACCCCGACATCATCGAGTACCTGCTGCGCCGGAGACTCCGTGCTGCGCCGTGAGTCCCTGCCCAGCTGCAGGGGCACAAACCCTGCTGTGCTGGCACCCGCCGCTGACACAGAACCACAGAACCACAGCCTGCCTTGGGCTGGAGGGGCCTTAGATCTCCTCCAGCTCCAAGCCCTGCCACGGGCAGGGACACCTTCCACTGGAGCAGCTTGCTCCAAGCCCCTGTGTCCAACCTGGCCTTGAACACTGCCAGGGATGGGGCAGCCACAGCTTCTCTGGGCACCCTGTGCCAGCGCCTCAGCACCCTCACATCCCAGCTTTTCCATCCCTTGGAGCTTCTTATTCTCCTTTTTTCCTGCCCAGTCTGTCCTATGCTCCCTCCTTTACCCAAACCTACTCTGCACCAGCGCTCCCCCACTGCACACATCTTCGTGGGCCTCCACTGCTCCAGCCTCTCAGGACCACGCACTGATGTTTGCTCCATTATTGGCTCCATCAGCTGCCTTCTCCAGGTTTTCCTCACCCTTGGTGCTGTCTGCACTTCTATACACTTTCTGCCTGTCTTGTGAGCATGGGTCTGTGTGTGACTGCCAGCTAGGTCTGTACCTCTGCTTTTTGGCTGTGAGATAGGGAAGTCCCAGAGAGGCTCATACTTTGAGCTCATGCCCTTCCCTGTGAGTAAAGAAGGTAAAGTAAAAGGGTCTCATGTCCCATGATCTGAGCCCATGATCATGGTCTGTAATAGAGGAGGTGTTTTGCTCCCCTTCGGTGTAAAGCAGGGCAGCTTAGCAGTCTTGAGTCTCCTTGTAGGAATGGTGACTCCTTCAGCTGACATGGGCTGTCCTGTACAAAGTGGTTTCCCAGAGCACAGACCTTAAGAGTTGTAAGGTTACCTTATGTTCCTGCTGCTTGTCTATCCTCACATCCCTTTTGGGACTGTCCGAGGAGATGGCAAATCTTTGGGGTCACTGCTAGAGGCTGTGTGGGTGTGAAACTGGCAATGGAAGCAGTCTGCAAATAGCACATCTCTCTCTTCACTTTTAGGAGCACAGAGAGTGAGGATTCAAGAGAGGAGCATGCTCCATCCCTGCTGCCAGGGTGGACCTGCACCCTGGAGAACAGCTCACTCTCATCGGAGCTGTACAGCAGCACCTCATTCCTAAACCTGGATGTTGGCATCTAGCGGTGCTGGGCCAGCCCCTCTGCACTGCGGACAGGACTGAGCAGCTGGGCAACCCTTCCGCACGTCAGAGGAGTGGGGCTGTGACAGGAGCATGAATGCCTGCTGGAGCCCCTCTGCCACCAGTGGACAACCCAATGGCATGCAGGCTGGAGAGCAGCAGGCTGGTGTCCGACAGACTGGGGGATGTGACATAGAGGTCCAAAACTGATCCTATCTGGGGTAGTTCCAGGCACTGGTCAGGCTAGTGACTTATAGAGATGGGGGAGCAATAGCTTGGGGCTGAGCCCCGCTGTGAAGACAGGGAGGATGCTGTCCTGACACTGAGTGAATGGGGAATGTTAGCAGGGCAGTGAGGATGGAAAATGCAGGTGGGGGTTTGGGATATCACTTACCTGTGCTGTTGTGTGGAGACAAAGCTCTCCTGGAGCTGGAGGAATTCCCATAGAGCTACAGGAACAGCAACCCTGGTGCAAAGATACCCCAGCCTGCTCTGTTCAGAATGAATTACAGCTTTCTTCTTTGTTTTAGCCCTGTTTAAAATTGCTAATGTTAGAGACTGTAAAACACTGTATCAATCCCAAAATGCATGGCTGGCGTAGCAAGAGAGCACTGTATACTCTGAGGACTACAAACTTCAATTTTGCTTGAATTCATATTCAGTAGGTTAGACCTTCTGATGTATTTTACACATTATGGTGTCATTTCATGACCTTTGGCTGTGAAATGGCTGGTTTGGTTTGTTCCTACTTCTCAGGCATTGGAATTCATGGCTGGTTATGTGCAAATGTACGTTTGTAGCTGATCTGGCAGAATCACAGAGTCATGGAGTGGTTTGGGTTGGAAAGTGTCATGTTCACAGTTGAGATCTTGCCTCCAAAGAAATGCAGCTGAAGAGACGGCAGGCAGGTAGGATGATGGTGAGGGTTGTGGTGGGAGGAGGATCAATGCCTGGAGAAGCCTGATGGCTTTGGCCACATTTGTAACATCAAGAAGGTTGGTGGTGGGTGTGGAAGTATTCATGTGCTACTCTCCTGAGAGGAGGAGGATGAGTCCCACCATAGCCTCAGCAGCATCTGCTGATGGGTGGTCCCTCTCTCGGGGCACGGCAGCAGCACTGCTCAGGGGTGAGTTGTTTGCAAAGGTCCCTTCCCTGTGGGTGGGTACAGTTGGGGCAGGTGGAGAAGCAGCTCCTAGAGAACAGCAGAGGAGCATGTGCTGAGAGATAACTGCTGAGAGCCTCGCAAGCAGTGATAAGCTCTGGAGCTGTGTGGTGCTGTTGGGTCTGCAGGAGCAGATAAACTCGGGGTACCATGAGCCTGCTGAAGGTTTTGAGGTCACCAGCACACTCGAGCACCAGCTGTGTAACAGCACCATGTCCACACTGCCCTGTACAGACATACTACAGGATTACACCACCTGCAAGAGCTGCACCTCTGGGGACCATCCACATTCCTCCCAGGCAGCCTCTGGCGTGTCAGGGTGCCTGCTCCTCGGCCCACTGCCAGCGGTGGTGGTGCCGTTCCCATGCGGTGCAGTGACACCTCCTGGCAGTCCTGGCAGCCTCAGGCCGTTACCAGTCATGTGCTGAGGAGGATGAGTTGTGCCCTCCGTGGTGGATCTCTCTGAGCTGTTACCAAGGTCCACCAAGAATTTGGAACCCAAGAAAAAAGCAGGTGGTGTGGGCAGCCTTCCCTGCATAGGATGGGGAAAAGCAGGCTCAGGGTGCACCTTATCCCCATGTTCCAGTACTTAGAAGGTGGCAGAGACTCCCTTTTTCATGCATTCACATGGAGAAGATGAGAGGTGATGGGCAAAAGAGGGCTTGTGGGGAAGCACGTGGTCATTCTTACTATAGGGAATACAACAATCCCCGTGGGATCTTTGTACACATCACAAGGCTTAGAAACTGCCCTGGCTACCAATGGGGATACTGCTATGAGCTCCACGTGAGGGCAGCCCAGCACTGAGAAGTGACGGCAGAACCCAGGAATGACTTCCTGAGAAGGATACAGGCTTTTTTCTCCTTCAAAAGCATCCTGGGCTGGCACTGCTGGGTGTGCATCAGTATTTCATACAGTCCCAGCCTGGTTTGGGTTGAAGGGACCTTAAAGGTCAACCAGTTCCAGCCCTGTAGCATGGGCAGGGTCACCTTCCACTAGAGCATCTTGCTCCAAGCCCCGTCCAGCCTGGCCTTGAACACATGGTGTGTTCTGTGGAGCTTGGTTAAAGGAGAGCAAAGACAAGGGGGAAACATCCTACAGGACTTCACATCCTGGTGGCTGATGATGCAGGGAAGGAAAAGGGCACCTGGCAGGAATCGTAAAGATCTCAAGGACATTTCCAGCTGAGGGAGAAGCCAGCCTGGCCCAGGATCCCACCGTGCGGGGGACCAGCAGCACTAAGGAGGGAGCGGGGGTGGGATGGAGGCAAGGAATGGGCGGAGGCAGGGCTGGGACAGAGGGAGGCTGCCGGCAGCTGCCCGCCTCGGGAGGACCCCTGTAGCTGGGTTTAGGCCGCCCAGCTCCTCGGGACCAAGGTCCTCAGGCCCCGTGTGACACCCGGGACCCTCGGAGGTGGGGACGAGGTGAGTTCGGGGCGGGGGGGGGGGGGGGATATGTCATCCCTGGTCCTGCCGTGGAGGACAGGGGAGACGCCGCACCCGGACCCACGCTGGAAGGGGATAGGTGGCAACGCTGCGGTGCGCAGGGAGGGGGCTCCGGGACGCTCCGCCCAGCACCCGGGGCGGCCCCGGGACTAAAACGGCCTCGACCGGCGGAACTCGCGCTGCCGCCGCCCGGACCGGAGCGCGCCCGACGGTGAGTGCTGCGCCGTCGTCCCGTTCCATCCCCCCACCCCCCATCCCGGGAGCGGATGGAGCGCGGGGCTCCGGCTGCGGCTTCTGGCCGTGTCCTGTTCCCCGCCACGTGCGAGCGGGGCCCCCATCGGGTCTTCCCCGCGGGATCCCGCCGGTACCGGGGCAGCCGAGCTCAGCATCCCCGGGCCGCCGTGTGCTGGTGCTGCCTCAGACTGACCTCTGGTCCCCAGCGATGGCCGACGAGCTCCGTGACCTGCTGCGGGAGTTTGATGAGGTGATGGAGGACTTTGACAGGGGCCCCACGCGTCAGTACGAGCAGCATCTGGAGGAGCTGAAGAGGAAAGCAGGGACCAGGGTGTACGACAGCGGCATCGATGAGCTGCAGAGTGAGTCGCGGCTGGGTAATGAGGAGTCCTGGAGGGGATGGTGTCCCTCTGGATGGGGCAGCTTTGGGAGCTCTGGGGCAAACCTCCATGGCAAACTACCAAGCTTCCTGCTGGTCCTGCCTCTGAGTTGCTCACCCAGCCCATCGTGGGCATGGTTTCCTGACCCAGGGGCTGCCAACATTTGCTGCATTGGCTGCTGCAGAATGGCACAAGGGTTGAGATAACCCGAAACTCAGAGGAAGCTGCTTCATTATAATAACCCTGAGGAGTCCCCGTGGCTGCTCAGGCAACCTCTGGTGCTGTTGGACCTGGCAGAGCAGTTCAGTTCCCTTTTCCCAAGTATTCCTCATAGCAGGGGAAGAGCAGATGGTCCAAGAGTGAGGGTGGACCAGGGCCAGGTGCCATGCACTTGACCAGTCCCTGCCCCTGAAGCTTTATTCTAAGGTGCCTGTGGCCATGGATGGTGACTGACACTTCACAACTGCAGGTACCAGCACGTCCCCAGGAAGCAGCCTCAACTGCAGTGAGGAGGACCTTAACACCCCGGCCAGTGCTTACCCCTCCAAAGGTGAGGCTGAGCAGGCTGTCCAAAGGAAGGGCTGTTTGCTGGGTATTCCCCCTCACATTTGTCTCAGCTCCACAGCCATGGGCTGGCCCCAGGAGGGGTGCTGGTGGAGCCCTGCTGGGTATGCTTTGGGGCAGGAAATGCTATGTCTCCAGGCAGAGTTAGTCCTGGGGTTCTCCTGCCCATGCTGCCTTCAACAGCATTCTCAGCTCTGAGGTGTGTGCACACAGGAGCATCCTGTCACAGAACGGGTGATGCTGGAGCTGCCTGGGGGTGTGTGGCTGGGCTAGTACTGAACTGTGCAGTTCAGGTCCCTGTTGTGGATGGAGCTCCCAAACCCCCTCCCACTGCCCTCAGACTGCTCTTGACTGGCACAGGCACAGCAGGCAGCTGCAGCAGTTGTGCTTGGAAGCACAGGGCAGGGATCTTTCTCATGTTGGGGAACGGGAGAGACCTGACTCTGTTTCTCTCCACCAGCAAAGCTTGGTGACACGCAGGAGCTGGAGGAGTTCATTGCAGACCTGGATAAAGTGCTGGAAGGTACAAACACAGCTCTGATCCTGCTGTTCCCTGAGCCAGCTGGGAGGACACTGGGGTGGGGCTTCTTCATCACCTCCAGCATGGCAGAGCCTAGCCCAGCACTGCTGCCAGCGAGGCTCTGGCTGCAGGGTTAGAGCCTGGGTCTGGCTGCAGGTGGGATCCTTCTGTCCTTTCTTTTGTTGGGGGCTTACCTGGATGTCCCCCCATCCCTCTCCAAGTGCTTTCAGCTGGGGCAGGAATTCCACTGCAGAAAGGTGCCAAACAGCACAATCTGCAGAGCTGTTGGCACCTTCGGGAGGTTTGCAGGCCCTGTGGCTCTGGCCTGCCTGCAGCATCTCTCTGACTGCTGCATGGAGGGCTCTCTTTGTTATGGGGGACGGTGAACAGATGGAAAACTGCTTTCCCCTTGTGGCATTCCCCAGCCTGCAAAAAGTCAGCTCTGTGGAAATATCCCATCTGGAGGGAGGAAAAGGGAGGATTTGGACTCGATAAGCACCACTTGACATGTGCCTGTGGAAGTGAAACTTATGTATGTGCGGAGCAGGAACTGCTCCCGAGGGTGTCTGTGGTGGTAGAGGGGGAATCCCAGCCCATAGCCAGGCCCTGGTCTTCTGCTGGGGCAGGTGGTGATGCTGCACTGGCATCCCCAGCAGCTCTGCCCTGCCATGGGGGTCTGGTCCCCGGTAGCTTCCTTGCTGGCGAAGGTGAGGCAGAGGCGATGCTCCCTCCCCAGAGGGTCCCTGGATGACAGCCCGAGCAGGGAATTGTGTTTAAACCAAATGAAGCATTTCCCTCTAGGCAGGCCCCACAAGTTGCAGTTCCCAGAATCTGTTCCTTTCCCCAGTGCCCAAGATAGGGTTGTGGCAGGTGGGAGGTGTTGCTGCTGCTGGCGCTGAGCCCTCCTAGGAGAGCAGGAGCTCCCCAGCAGGTCTCTGCTCAAATCCTGCTGCTGGTGCTGCCTGGAGGGGTGCAGAGCACCAGCAGTCTCCTGCCCCCAAGAGCCATCTCACCAATGTTCTCCCCCCTTCACTGTCATGCAGAGATGTGAGATGTGGTTTCGGTGGTGACTTTGGAGACGAGAACCTGCAGCAGATGAGCCCCGTGTATTCCTGATACACCCTCTGCTTCTGCGCCCCTACTGCCCCACTGCCTGCAGGGTGACCCCCTGTGCCAGCCACCACAGACTGCCCCAGCTATGGGGACCCTGCTCCACTGCTTCAGGACTCTGCCAGTGAAGAAATGAGGAGAGCTACCGTGCCTTTAGCCTCCATTCTGGAAAGAAGAAATGAGGAGAGCTCTTGGTGGAGGATCACAGAGGATTCCAGACTGAGTGTTGGGAGGGACCTTAAAGCTCCTCCAGCTCCAACCCCTGCCACGGGCAGGGACCCCTTCCACTGGAGCAGCTTGCTCCGAGCCCCTGTGTCCAACCTGGCCTTGAGCACTGCCAGGGATGGGGCAGCCACAGCTTCTCTGGGCACCCTGTGCCAGCACCTCAGCACCCTCACAGGGAAGAGCTTCCTCCCTAAGAGCTCAGCTCAGTCTCCCCTCGGGCAGGTTCAAGCCATTCCCCTTGGCCTGTCCCTACAGGCCCTTGTCCCAAGCCCCTCTCCAGGTTCCCTGCAGCCCCTTACAGGCACTGGAGCTGCTCTAAGGTCTCCCCTTCAGGAGCCTTCTCTTCTCCAGGCTGCCCCAGCCCAGCTCTCTCAGCCTGGCTCCAGAGCAGAGCTGCTCCAGCCCTCGCAGCAGCTCCATGGCCTCCTCTGGACTCGCTCAGCGGCTCCACATCGCTCTCTTACTGTTCCCCCAAAGCTGGATGCAGCACTGCAGGCTTTGCCCATCTCTTGTGACCTGGGGGGTCAGGGGGGTCTGTGCCACTGTTTAAGCCAGAGGAGAACCCTGGCTGGTTCTGAGGAAGATGAGCGTGCAATGCGTCAGCAAGAATTTGGTGTTCCCTCCCGGGTCAGAGAAGCCTTTTCCCGTGGTGGATGTCTCACAGGCACTAACAGCCAGTGCTGGCCCTTTGCTTTGCACAAGTAGCCTCAAGCCCGGCCCTTGCCCGTGCCCCGGCTGCTGCTGTAAATAGTGTAAAAAGGCTGTGGCTGTACAGGGGATGTGTTTGTATGAAGGGTTTGGAAGCGTCTGCTTGTTTCTGTGTGTGTCCAGTCTTTTGCTGTGGGTAAACCCGAGCCTGTGCTTCCCTGGAGCAGCCCCAGGAGCTCTCAGGAAGCTTGGCTGCTGTAATGGGGATGGACCCAGCCAGCCTGGACCCGGATGCAGGGCAGGAGGGGAGGGCTGGAGCCTTGCACTGGAGGCTCATCAGGAGCTGTAAGGTGGACAAGTAGCCTTGACAGCTCCTCAGATGTCCCATCACATGGCTTTGGCTCCTGGACTGTGTGGAGGTGCAAGAGGAGGGCAGTCCATCCCTTTTACCTCCATGTGCTAGGGCAGATGAGCCACTGCCTGCTCCTCTTGCTCTGCTGGCCCTGGGGACCTGTGCTTGTGGTGCTGTGGGACCTGCTCTGCTCCCGCTGATGCTCAAAAGCCACCTACTTTACCCTAAAGATGCATTACAGGGAGTATTTCTTGGTTCACCTACAGAAACAAGAGGCAAACAGGGCTCCCTCATGCAGAGCCGGGCTGTGGGTTTGTTCCCAGAGTGCTGGGAAAGGCTGTGGTGGGTGATGCTGCTCCAAGGGTCCCAGTTCCTGATGGATGTGCCCTGGTGATGCTTCCTCTGGTTACTGCCCCTCAAAGCAGCCCCAGGAGCAAGTCCCCAGGGGAGGGGGGTCTGCAGCCCCTTGCCTGGCTGGATCCTGGGTGCCCCTGCAGTTGGGTGGCTCTGGGGCAGGCAGGAGATGCTGAGAATGCCCAGGCATGAGACGGACCCAGGGGCAGCTGAGGGGGGTGGTTCTGAGGGATGCTCTCTCCAGGTTCCCCCCTCTAAAAGCTTCCCCTTGAGCACTGAGATGACTGGGAGGAGCTCAGAGAGAGGAGGAACGTGGTGCTCTGCTCATCCCTTCCTTCCCTGTGATGTCTGTGTGGAGCAGGGCCACGCATCGCTCTGTTGCAACCGCCTGAGCAGGAAATGAGACGGTTTTAGTGTCTTCCCTCACCCCTTGGCTCCTGGCATGCTGATCAGGAAGGTATTGGTCACCTCACCTGCCAGCCTGGGGCTTAGTGCTGCATCAGGGATCTGCTGAGCACGCACTGATCCCACACAGTCAGGAGGTGAGAGCGAGGGCAGGAGCCAGGTGCAGGGCAGGTCACGCTTGCGGACACTTTCCACTGTCTCTCTCCCCACGCTGCATAATGCGGCCTCTAATCTGCCTCCCAGACAGAAACCCCGGTCCTATTGAGCAGCCAGAACATGGGGGTGAGAGCAGGATGGTGGGACATGGGGTGGTGGGGATGCTCCGAGATCTGCCCATGATGCTCAGGTGTGCCATGGGGGCTGGCACGCCACCCCCCGGGGAGACTCAGCCCACAGCACGGGGGTGAGGGCAGCAGGAGCCGTGGGGACGGTCCCTGCCATGCACATGGGTGGTGGCAGCCACCGCCATGTCACCAGGATCTATTTCCCCTCTGAGTCACTGGTGCAGGCGGTTTGCCCTCACGCTCTGCTCTGACGCGTGTTTATTCCGCCATGGTCCCGTTCTGCCTCAGGGCATCACAAAAGCCTCGCCAGCACTGTGGGAAGGAGGTTTTTAACAGGCCAGTCCCAGTCCACCCCTCGCTGCTGCCTCCACTGGGTCATGGTGATGCTCAGTGCTGGGCTGGGGGACCACACGTTGTCCCTTTCCATCGCCCCAGCGCAGGAATGTGGCTGAGAGGTGCAGTATCGACACGGTAGAGCCCCAGATCCACTGTGGCTGATACACCCCTGCAGCAGAACAGCACCCGGTGCCGCTCAGAGGGGTTGTTTGTTGTGAGGGTTGCCAAGAGAAGGGTTTGGGCTTCACCCTGGTTTCCTCACCATGGGCAGGCTGGGTGGGTGCTGCTGAACTGACTATGTTGTGCAGGATCCTCTCCAGCACTCTTGGTACCCTGTGGTGGAGCTGCCGGCAGCTCCTTGGGAGCACAGTTGGGCTGGCAACAGGCACCCCATAGTGCTGGTGCTATGTGTGGGTGACACGGGACCTGAGACCAGCACTGTCTGGCACCGACAGCAGCAGCAGTGGTGATGCTCAGCCTAGCCCCACTGGGATGGACTTGTGCTCATGGTTGCACAGAGCACTTGGGGCACTCAGATGGGGGCTGCAGCATCCACCAGCCCCGGGGTACAGTTATCCAAGGGCTGTTGTGCAGCCCAGGAGGACCACTGTATCCCAACCACAGTAATGGGGTGGCTGGAAGCCCACGAGCAGGGAGAGCTGAGACTGCTGGAGGTGGTCAGTGGGAAGGGGCTGGGTGGCCCCTGAGGGCACGTGCAGTGGAGAGACCGCAAAACTAATCACGAGCAAGCACGTCTGCAGCACGTCAGTTCCTCCCCTGGGCCCCTCTTTCAGCAGCAGCTTGGAGGAGGCTGGGCCAGGGCCAAGGAGCAGCAGGGTCAGAACGCACTTTGTGTGGGGCTCTACAGAGTCTTGAGGATGATTTGGACCTGCCAGGGTGGGAACCCACCCTCTGGGGGTACTGGGAGCTGGAGGACCTGGGAACGGTCAGTCTCTGAGCTGTGCTCCTGGGGAACACTGGAGCATCAGGTGCGAGTGGCTGGTCCGGGCTGGCTGGGGAGCAGGCTGGGATTCAGCCCCAGTGCTACCATGGTCAGCGGAGGAGGAACCCAGCCCTTGCTGGGCTGGAGCAGGGGCACAGCACCTGCACAGGGCCACCAGCAGAGCTGCCACCACCCCAAGCCATGCGTTCACCACGCTGAGGTCTGCAGCCTGCCGGGACCTCTCCTCCCGAGCAGCAGAGCAGTGCTCGCTGGGCACGGAAGTGGCTTAACCAAAGCGCAGCAACCTCTCGTGCCTCCTGCTTGCACCTTCCCTCCTAGCCCAGCTGCAAACCCAGCTGCCCAGGGTCGTGCTGGTGCTTTGCTTTGTGGAGTAGGTGCTGTTCCAGCAGTGGCTCCCATCACCCTCCTCGCAGCTGAAATGCCAGGGTGCCGAGGAGACCTCCTGCTGTCCTGGGACCCAAATGACCAGGCTGGGGCATGGAGGTGGCTTGTAACCACACAGGGGTAGCAACCAGGCACCTCCCTCCCTTACTGCATGGAGTGCAGCCAGAAACCGCTCTGATAGCCCCCACACAGGGATCACCTCTGGGCAGATGTTGCCTCTGCCTCCCTGTGTTTGCAGGCCCTCCTGCAAGCAGCTCCCAGTGCTAAAGGGGCTGCAAGAAACCTGAAGAGGGGCTTTGGACAAGGGCCTGTATGGACAGGCCAAGGGGAACGGCTTTAACCTGCCAGAGGCAAGACTGAGATGAGCTCTTAGGCAGAAGCTCTTCCCTGTGGGGGAAAAGCTCCTCCAGGTCCTCGCTGAGGGCTCCACTCAGGTGGAGACTGAGCTGGATGCCTGTGATCAGGGGGCTTGTGTTTCCTTTCCCTGGCTGCTGCTCCCTGCTCCAGGCTCCTCCACAGCGAGGTGGGCTCTGACTTCATTCCCCAGGTATCCAGAAAGACAATGCTGGGTGGCAGCCAGCGCTGCATCCTGTCCCCTCACCCCAGTCACTTCCTGGGATTGTTCTGCTCTGCTCGACAGGAGCCGGCACAGGAGCCTGCTGCTTGGCTGTCCCCTGGGACCAGCAATACTCAAGCCTCATGCGCCTCCTGTTCGGTGGTGTTTCACTCAGCAGCAGAGCATGGCTGGGCACGGGATGCTGTTGGGGAAAGCTTATCCTGTCTCTCATGGCTTTCTCCTGCCGTCTTGCCCTCTGTTTTTCAGGAGCTGCCCTCCTACGGTCTCCACCAGTGGTGGTACTGGGCAGCGCTGGACTGTGCAGCAGGAGCCCCATCTCCGTCCCAGCCAAAAGTTTTTTATGGCCCAGGCCAGAGGGAGCTTGGGGGAGAAGCGAGGAGCAGAGTGGAGCAGGGCTAGTCTCCCGGCTGCCTGAGCTGGCATTAACCTCAATAGTAACTAATTCATCTAATACCAGGAGGGTCAGGCCTGCGGCACCATTCCTCTGCAGGAATGCCGGGGGCTAAGCCTGCAAATAACCCTCCTCGATGTAATCAGCCCCGATTTGCGGCACCAGAAGCTACCAAGGCATTCACGCAATGATCTCTGGACC